TGATCGCCCCCTGTGAGCCACCATGTTGGCCTTGAAGTGCAGCGTTTCACCCACTGCGTTGGCAACATGGGGGTCTTGCAAAATGGAGTCATCAACCCTGATCACTCGGTTCATGTGATCAGTGGCCCGGGGATTCCACTCTACGGCTTCCACCGTCTGTGGAAGGGGAGGTGGAGTCTGCCTCTGCTGCTGTTGCTGTTGTTGTTGCCTCAGTTGTTGCTGTTGCTGTTGTTGTTGCCTCAGTTGTTGCTGTTGCTATTGGGGAGGAGGAAGTAACCCACGGCCTCTCCCGCTTTGCTGCTGAGCGGAGGGGGCCCTGGATCCGCTGCCAAGGCCGTCGTGCCTTTGTTTGATCCTCCTCCCCTCCTCTACCTGAGAATCTTGGTCACGCACTTGACCCCGACCAACGGCTCTTGAAGATGGGGCCCCGCTAGTTGATCCTCGTCCCTTCCCGGCAACGAGGGCCTGCCTCTGCCTCAGGAACTCCAGATCTATGCGAGGCGTGTTCGATATGGCTACCTCGAGGGCGTCCTCCTCGTCTAGGGACTGCAGGATTTGGAAGTCAGGCCACGAATCTCTCCCCGAAGTCCCCACCTCGACATACGAAGGAACAAAAGCCTCCCTGGCCCCGAACTCCTCAACTTCAACAACACCCTCTACTTCGGCCTCTGTAGCCCAGTCGCGATCTTCCTCCAAATTCTCCTCGACCTCTTGTTGCGCAGCCTGATCGAAGAGTTCAGACCACCGCGAAGGCTCGAAAGGTTGGGGGAGCTGTGAGAACTTTTTATATCCGGGAGTGTAGTTCAGAAGAACGTGAGCAGCCCGGCCGAATCTGTCGTCGCCAACAAATCTCCAAACAGTGACGAGGTCGATAAAGTTTACCAAGGACCGAAGTGGAGGAGCTGTTTCCCGAGCGGAGACGTCTACACAAAAAAATAGAGAGAATGGAGAGGGAGTTATGAACACTTCTAAAAAATCTCAAGAACAAAATAATAGACTCGAAGAAGCCGACGTACTTGTCGTTCTCCATTCCAAAGGGCATAACAGACCATCGTATTCGGGACCGGCACCCCTCTGTCAGGACCCCTTGAAGATCAGCAGGTCATCCTTGTACCCCTTGTCCGAATCAGGAAGGTGAGTTACGAGGTACATGGATGGGTCCCTAGCTTTGAGGTAGAAGTTTTGCTGAGGCATGACCCTCAAGAGGGAGTAGCAAAAGAGGATATCGTTCAACCCAACATTTACCCCGAGACGCTTGTTGAGCTCTAAGACTCCCATTATTATCCTGAAGACATTGAGGTAACACTGCCCGGGGAAGAGGTGGAAATGAGAGAGGAACTGGAGGAGTAGAGGGGGCAGAGGGAACCTAATTCCACCCTCTATGATGGCTTTAGTATAAAAGGGCATCTCATCCTCGGTCCCGAGGGTACGGGAATGCACAACTGAGTTATAATCCTTTATGTTTACATATAGGGGGATGCGATACTGGACCCTAAACCTATTAATCTGCTAACCTATTAATCTGCTCGTCCCCCTTCACTTTGTACTTCCCTGGCCTCGAGGAACTAGCCTGAGGATTCTCAGGGGCTGGGCGACATCGGGGTTTCTCCAAAAATGATGAAAATTGAGGAAGAAGGGAGGGGTTTTCCCATGATGATCCCCGAGGAGGCTTCCCGAGGGTTGGTCACAGAATGACAACCAGAAACACCTCCGATTATCGAAAAATTAAAAGAAAATAAAAACGGCGAGAAGAAGAAAAGAAGAGACAGAAGGGCGAAGAGAGGGAAGATACAAGGACTCACCAGAACGTAAATGAAAGTTTTTCTTGAAAACTTGAAGTGATTCCTTCCCCTAGGATGTTCAGAAGCAAGGATGGGTCTGCTGGCCTTGAGACTCTGGTGAAAGATTAGGCAGTTGACAGCAAAAGGGAAGGGATCTCCGGTGAGGTTTCAGGCAAGGGCTCTTTGCAGAAGTTCGAAATGACGAAATGAGAGAGGGAGAGAGGAAGCCCGTTTATATAGTACCCATCCCCATCATTTGGGCACGAAGCATGAAGAGGCGCATTTAATGCGCACGACTTCCTAAGCAGGGAAAAGTGGCTAGAGGCAATGATGAAATAGTTGGGGTAGTTGCAGAACCCTTCGTCTCCTTACGACGCGTGTCCTCGGTGTCAGGAGATCGAATGCTGAGGGCAGTTGATGGGACATTTCCAAATACTCCAAGATGAAGACACGTGTCCTCGGCATCAGTAAATCCTTGTTACTGTGATCACGACATGTATCCGTCGGTTCACAAGTCCCTTTTCCCCCGAGGTATTGTTCATAAGGATCAATGACACCCAATACGTTTACGTATCGACACGTATCCCTCGGTCGGATATGGGTACATCGGTCCCTACATGTACCACTCCCCTCGGTACCGAGATGTACCCATCCAGGATGCGTTCTCTGCTCCTGTAGAGGCTATTGATGTACAAGTCACTAGCCTGGGCTAGGCTAGGTTAGCCATCATAACTTCGTCTTACACAATTGGTGTCAGAAGGCACAAGAAGGCAGAAGACACAACCAATGGGGAATGGGCGCATGGCATATTGTGTCAGATCAGAGACAAAAAGACCGAGATGCCCTTGCTAACACATGACTTGGGAAAGCAAGCATTTAGTGCACCATTCCCTTGATGAGACATCATTTAATACAGGAAGGCTCGAAAGTGAAAGGTAATAAATGTCCCCATGACTGGGCATTTATTACATCCTTGCCGAGAGAAGCTCATTAAACATTCGGCAGGCCGATGACGAAGCATTGATTGCTCGGGGTCCCGAGCAGTTAAGAGAGAAGACATTCCTCATAGGAATCAGTGTGCACATTGCCCGTATCTAATGATCACCTACTGACAGCAATCATGAATTTTTGAGGTATAAATACTCCTCATAAAAGGCAAGACGGTATGCAACAAAAAACCTTTTTCTCAAAAATATACAGTGTTTTCTCCTTCCCCTCTCTCAAAGAACTGACTTGATCGTCGGAGGGGATACGCCGGAAAACACTCCGGCGCCCTCCTAACTCATTTTTTTTCTGTTCCAGGAGGCTCCCTCAGCCTTACTGGACCGTTCCGTTGATCCACGAAAGTCACCCATTACCGTTCCAGGCCACCACCGGACCTCACAGTCTGTTCCGAGCAGCAAGGTTGACCATTCGATTGACTGACTCGAGTTCACCACGAGAGAGATCTGTTCTCGTGTTTATATTGTGCAAGATCCTGCACGCACAGTTGACTTAGGTTTCTTGGTCAAACTTTGGTGACCTAACACTCCCCAATCTTACCTTCGGCACTTGCATCTTCTTGCACTATTATGATCCTAGTCAGATGGATTTTTTTTCTCTCGGTTTTTGAATCTAATATATAACAAGAAGCTTAGTTATGGACACTATTCCCTCGTTTCCCAGAAAGTTTAAGAGTGCATTCTATATGATTACTAGGTTAGATGACCATGCGCCTGTACTAATTGCTCTAGGCACTCTGCTATTAGTGCTGATCTACATTTTTTTCAATGGTAATAGGAATACACGCAGTGCCATTGTCTTAATAAGCTTCTGCATGACACAGATGCCTCCTCTATGCCTTCTCAAACACAAGACCAGAGGCCCTCCATTAAATTCTGTTTTGTGTTTCTCTTGGTATCAGGTCCCTCATTGTGAACCACAGACTCTGAGGCAACTAAAAGGATGGCCAAGTATGTATTGGTAACCATTTTCATTTGGAGAAGGCCAATGTGAGATTGAGAATCCATTGTAAATGACAAAACAGAAAGAAAGATGGACAAATAAAACAATCCATGAATATTGCCTTCACTGTTGTGTCTAGGGGAAAAAAACTTAAGTCTCATATTTTTTGAGGCTGTCAAGAACTCAATGACTAAAGTGCATTCATATACATTGACACCCACACAACACATAAGTAGGCAAAAGCTGGGTCAGGGGTATTTATAGTACATGTACTTGGGCAAACCGGGTTCTTTGTACAGGCTGGGCATAGCTACCTTTGTACGGAGGTTGACAATCATGCTTGTTTCGTTTGGGTTGCTGTGTCACTTCCCTTTAGGGGAGATTTACACTTCCCTATTTGAGGCAGAACTTCATCCTGTGATTTTTTGGGTAGGACAAACAACCATATTCCATCAGGAAATTTTAAATTCACAGGCTGCCTATGGATTCCATGTCCCCTAGGGCTGCTGAGTTGTGAGGATCCCTTCGGATGTTTGTTATGTAGAGGTGGTAATTTGCGTTGTCTGTAAGTCCCAATGAGGAATATCCTTTTCGCAGGGAGGCTGGTGGATTTTGTCACATTTACCTTCGGTGCTCGCAGATAGATAACTTTTATTTTGAGAGTGGCGAGACCTTGTCACGGTAGTTGTCCACTTTTTTTGTGGTGCCTCGCATCAGTCAATTATGGATACAGTGATACACATTTCAGATTTAATGGGCTACTGCAATTGGCAATTTGCATTGCACTAGTTACAAAAAAGGTTTAATGGATAATGTATTCGGACAAGTTGACAGTAGAGAGGGATTGTTTTGTTCTAATTGCATTGATGGAGGAGTGGATTAGAGGTACTTGGTTGGAATTCTCTCTCGTGGGAAAATGGAATTGGGCAAACCTATAGAAGAGGAGTTATTTGAACAGTTGGAGAGAGGCAGTTGCAGAAGCAATTAACAGCACTACAACAGTCAAGGGTCATTAACCTCTTGGAGTTGCCACATATCAAGATTTTTCTGCTGCTGATGTAGTTTTCTTGCTTCTATTTGTTTCCGTATTGTGCTTGTGAAGTACACCTTATTCTTTCATAGTACTTGTGCCCTATACCATATCAAAATTTCAGGCTGTATTAACAGAAAAGTAGTGTTAGTGATTATTCATGACCTTATGTTGTTCTGCATCTCAATGTGTAGATATGCATTACGACAAGTACCTCTGCTGGGTTAGAGCAGATTCTGCCATGGATGTTCTATCATAAAGCTATTGGGGTTTCAACCTTTTTTCTTTTTGTGGAAGGAAGGGCTGCATCTCCTAGTGTATCCAAAGTCCTGGAATCTATTCCAGTGAGTTTGTTTTCTATATACTTTTTTCTATTCTTTCATAGAGTTTCTTATTAATATTGTTTTTGACAGTATAATGTATGAATCAGGTTGTTTCTATTTGCTGAGCATGAGTTCTTGTTTCTTTCTCAGGGAGTAAAAGTAATATACAGAACAAGAGATCTAGAAGAGCAACAAGCAAAGAGGTTAGTTGTGTCTGCTATTTCCATGGTTGAGTTACAACCTCTTGAATATTTGGGCTGAACTGGAGAGACACAAACAGAACTGATGATGCTTCTTTCTGTTCCTGCCCTTTTTTTTTGTTCATGTAATTTTTTTTTTTCCAATTTCTGTTGTATTCACCCCTTGTCACTGCCATTTGTTTGACCTATGCTACTTTTTGACCTGTCATCTTATACATCTCTATTTTTTTGATAAGAAACAAATATTTTATTAAATAAAATGGAGATGACCGGTACATAATAGTGGATAAGGGATCCAGGACTTGAAAAGGAACAAATACAACATAAACAGTCATCCAACATAAAAATTAAATCATCTTATACATCTCTATTAACTATTACTTACGCAATAACTAATTCCATTGTTGTTATGTTAGCCGGATCTGGAATGAGACGTGGCTGTCAAGTTTCTTTTACAAACCATGCAACTACGAGCTTTTTGTGAAGCAATCTCTTAATATGGAGATGGCTATTGTCATGGCAAGGGTATGAATGTTTATACTCTTGCACATCATGGTCAGCTATCATTTTTCATTATAGACAATAGATTCTGATGTTCTTTAATCAATGGAACGTGTTACATGTTGAAATGCTAGGATTCTGGAATGGACTGGATAATTCATCTGGATACTGATGAATTGTTACACCCGGCCGGTGCTCGGGAGTATTCCTTGAGTCGGTTGCTGCTTGATGTGCCAAAGAATGTGGATATGGTTATCTTTCCAAACTATGTAAGTGATCAGATATGTACTTGCTGGAATTATTAGACAGTGGCAGTATTTCCTATTTTTAAAAAAACGTTTGGTCACTTCAGTTTTATTATTGTTCTATCGCATATGCTTCTTTTTCAATCAGTTAGATGGTGAGATTAAAGATTTCAACTGAGTATCCCACTGGTACTTTTTCTGTTCAGGAGAGTAGTGTTGAAAGTGACAACATCAAGGAACCTTTCACCGAGGTAACTCTTTCTCTTGGCGTTCATCTGTCTTTTCTATCTATTATAATTTCCATCGTTGATTGATCACTGAATTCAGTCAACATTGTGTCACACTTTAATTCTGGTAATTATTTGGTGACATAATCGCCTATCTTGTTAATGGATCAAAACCAGCTGTTCTGTTCTTTAAAAGTTTGAGGGTGTAAAAATGGACTTTTTTGCCTGGTTGAATAAAAATTGGTTGCTCCTCTTGGTATATGACTCTATCCAAACTCTTTTGTCTCTTGAGGTAAACACTATGATTTACCTCTTTCACAGAGCTTACTATATGGTCAAAGTGGAGACTAAGTCATCCGTGAATGTATGCTTTATGTTGTGTTTTTATCCACCAATCAATTTTGGAGAGCAATACTTTATTGTGCATTTCTCTTATATAGGAAAAAAGGAATTTTAGAATATTTAAAAAGTAGTATTAGTTAGATAATACACATTTTTAAGTAGGAAAAAAAAACTGCTTCAAGGTGGGAACATTATGTGTCTCGATGTGCGATTTTCATATCCTATGTCATTTTCTAATGATATGGTATGTCATTTTCTAATGATATGGGCCGTACAGAGTCTGGAACTCTGATGATGATTCTTTCAATTCTTTATTGCTTCTCAGAAGTAACCAAAAAAATCATCTCTTATAAAACCTGAATTTATTTGCCCTTCTTTTAGTTGCTTTGCAAAGCATAAACTATAAGCCTAACCTGTGTCAGTGTGCTTTTAGATCTTTTTGGAGAAATGAACTTCAAGACAGCAACTGCAGATTATCAGCAAAGGAGGGCATTTTTTATTTTGTTAGGTAAATAAATTATATTCTAGAAAAAGAGACATTGCAATGAAGATCAAATATACCCTAGAAAAAGGAATATTGAGCTTACTCACGAAGAGTGATGCTCAAAACACATCCCTAGATGTAATAGAAACCAGAGTCTAATAGGAACAGAATGTAGACCTCCCTTTTTCTTAGTAATAGCAATAAGCCCATGGGTCAAATTCTCTTAAATTCGGTCCCAGACAAAAAGGATAACAGTCCATAGGCCCATAAGATTATAGCCTGGAGACTTGGGTCCAGACATTAGAGCAGCCCACTGCACATGATGCCAACCTATCAAACATATGTAGCCTGAAGACACAGATGGTGGTCATTGGGGGAAATCTAGGTAGAGCTTTCCAACAGTGCCACTTAGCAATAAGGAAATGATGTTTATTCAAAAATTGTTCAGCTCCCAATCTTTTCAAGCAAGAAGACACATGCTCCCACGCTAGTGTAGTGAAGGCGTCTTCAACATCTTTGCTATCCAGCAACATTTGGCAGGTCTACTTGAATATTTTGGCCTTCTCCATCTGCCCTAAACTCAGTAACCCACACACTTCAATCAAGTTTTGGACTTGAAATCATTGACGCAATATTGAAACCGAGCTAAAATTTGCACGTTAAGCCCAAGCTCTTCTCACACCCTACAAAATGCCATAGGCAGACCTTGGATAGTAAGCTCTGAAACAGCATGATCCAAATGGATTGGCGCTTAACTGTATCCAACATTACGACCACTGGTAGCATCAACCTGCACCGAATTGATCTACAACAACCAAACCTTAAAGACATTAATCAAGGAAAACATGTGCCCATTGAATCCAAGAAAAAACCAATCTCCAGACCCAAGTCAGTCGCGCTATTTTAGCAGATAAACCACCCCTACAGCTGGTGAACTGCAGCTCATCCTGTGCAGCTTGTAAGAACCTCAAGCACCATGGCTGGGACATTCATGTGCTACTTAATTCAAGCTAGTGGGTGCTTAAATTTAGAAGTTCAGCTGGAACTTCTATAGCCCGTTGATGACGGTCTGCTTATTCATCCGGAAACATGCTACAATCAGGTTATAGGTTCCTCTGACATGAAGGGCGGCTAAAGAAAATGATGAGTGTCCATAGCAAAACTGAAGGGTTGGAGAAGATGGAGGACATGGGAACATGAAAGCTCAATCCTGGCCCTTAATGGCTAGCAAGGGTGTGTCGGGGAGGGGAAATAAAGAAAGTGGTCATGAATACCCTTGAGAGAGAGAGAGAGAGAGGCTCTCCCTCCCCTTTAACCTTAGAGCAAAGGAGGGCATATGGATGGAAATGAGGGGCTTTTTTACTTCCTTTCCTTTTTTTTATTGAGGTGGGATGTTCAGAATTGGGAAAAAGTATATGGGTTGGAGATAATGTTGAATGTATACCATTGAGGCATAGAATTTGGATTACTATATGCTCTTCATTAGCATGTGAATTGTTGGCACTTCATACACCACCTTTGATAACACTAGAATGAGTGACATTCTTTTGCATGGAGTTCCCAAGATGAGCATCCAAAATTACTTCACTAAAGCAAAAGTTGTGCCACTTAATTTTGACCTTCGCTAGAATTTACATGGGGGCACTTTGGGTGGTTTAAATCATTGCTCCACAAAATACCTACTAATGTTATTAAATACTTCCATTTGTATGACCATAGATGTGAGTTGTCCTTGACACATGTTTCTTTTGTTGTATCTATGAAAAATAGATATCCATGTTCAAGAAGAACTATGACCATCTTCTGAAGGATACATATTTTGGTATGTACAAAGAATCAACTCGTGGTAATCCCAACTACTTTTTGACTTATGGGAATGGGAAAGCAGCAGCTCGGATTCAAGATCATCTTCGTCCGAACGGTGCACACAGATGGCACAATTATATGAAAACCCCAAAGTAAGTTATTTCTATCATCTTGTTCAAATATGTGTTTTACTAACTAGCTTTTACGTGCCTTTCTACCTACTAATATGTTGTACCTTGCTTTTAATAGGCTCTTTTGTGATTTCTTTACAATTTTTGTCAGTGAAATCAAATTTGAAGAGGCTGCTGTTCTGCATTACACATATGCCAAGTTTTCAGACTTGACTTCGAGACGAGATCGATGTGGTTGCAAACCAACAAAAGAGGATGTCAAAAGATGCTTTATGTTGGAATTTGATAGAGCTGTGAGTTCAGTGCCTTTTTCATTTCTTTTTTTCTTCAAACC